GTTCAGGCTCAGGAAGAGACCACAGCACAGTACGGCTGGTGTTAAGGCTCAGGAAGAGACCACAGCACAGTATAGCTGGTGTTAAGGCTCAGGAAGAGACCACAGCACAGTACGGCTGGTGTTATGGCTCAGGAAGAGACCACAGCACAGTATGACTGTGTTAAGGCTCAGGAAGAGACCACAGCACATTAAGGCTGGTGTTATGGCTCAGAAAGAGACCACAGCACAGTACGGCTGGTGTTATGGCTCAGGAAGAGACCACAGCACAGTATGACTGGTGTTAAGGCTCACAAGGAGACCACAGCACAGTATGGCTGGTGTTATGGCTCAGGAAGAGACCACAGCACAGTACGGCTGGTGTTAAGACTCAGGAAGAGACCACAGCACAGTAAGGCTGGTGTCTCAAAGGGGAAACTTAAACACAAAGGGACACTTTTCTGACATCCAGTTGAGAAATAATAACAGAGCAAAACATATGCTGTATACATTGAAAAGAAGGTTTTCATTACCCATTCTGTCTGCTCCATCATCCATAAAGCAGCTTCAGGAAAAGGAAAGCCAGAAAGAGGAGAGACACAGCAGTGAGGTCATCATTAAATCAGGTTAGTCACATGCCAACAGTATATTTAATTTTGGGCCTGGGATCCTGGTGCAGAAGTTTTTGGCATGAGGCTCCCAGCACAGAGCACTGATTGATCAAACGATAGCTGGTCCGAACTTTATCCACCCTAACACTTCACTTTCCCTCATAGCGGACCCTTATCATTTACCATCCCCTGCCCGAAAGGTAACTTCTAAAGTGTATCTAAAGCCAAAATATTTTTTTTTTGGTTTGGATAGAGTGGGAAAAAGTTAAACCATCTATCACGTTTTATTGCTGTCCAAGTCCCCCCTTGGGAGAGTTTTGCCTCTATTTGTCCTGCTAATTCACTGAGATCGAAAGTGGTTGGACATTCCAAATTTTAAGCTGCCACAAGTAAAAAAAAAAAGGGGAAATCTTTCAGCCGGGGGTATTTCCCTTCAATTTAGGGAGATATTTACTCACTTCATGTTGTGTCTACAGGGCAGAACATAAGGGAAAATCTCCCCAATAAAACTCGAGTGGAAAAAAAAAAATGTGACAAGCGTTTTCTCCATTCTAATACACTATACATGAAATCGTTTGTGAACCCCTGATTATCACACCTACATGACCTTGCTGGACTTCCCATTGCAAAACCATAGCCACTAATATGAAGTTCCTCCCACCGTTTGTAACTATAACTGCCTTCACTCTTCTGTGATAGGCTGTGTGTCTGTGGGAATTTGTGCCTATTTGTGAGGTCAGGTACTGATGTTGGATGAGAAGACCTGGCTCACAATCAACATTCCAATTCATCCCAAAATGTGTTCAGTAGGGTTGAGGTCAGGACTCTCAAGTTCCTCTATTCCAAAGTGGTCAAATCATGTTATTATGGGGCTGGCTTTGTACAAAGGGGTACAGTCATGCTTGAACAGAAGGGGGTCTTTACCAAACTGTTACCACATGGTCGGAAGAGCACAATTGTCTACAATGTCTTTGTATGCTGTAGCACTGACAATACCCTTCACTGGAGACATCTGAACTCAGTCATCTGAAGGGTGCTCACATACTTCTAGTCATATTTATTACAACTTACCCTCAACAATTAACCCATAGCCTGAGCTATGCCCTAACACTAACCCCTATTCTGCAGCATACTCCCAATGTCCTGGACTAACAGCAAGCAGCACTGAGATCCAGGTGCCAGAACTCTATCATTACAATGTTTACATCTCTTAACTTACAATACGCCCCAGGGTTACTTTTATTAGTTGTAATGACATCCGAATTTCCCTATACTTGACCCCACTCATTAAAGGGTGATCAAATGCTGTGCAAAGCACACCAGTTAAAAATAACTGCAATGTTCCTGATCACTGAAAACTGACAGAGGAACATACTGACAATGACCATCCACGAGCAACTCCTACAGATAAAGGAGGTATTGGACACATGCTTCTGATTCAGGTCTCCCTGACCATACATGGCATCAAAAAGCCTTCAGAAGAAGTTTATAGGTCCTTCTGGGCCAACAACAATCCATAAAAACAGTTTACAGATAAAGATGTATTTGGCACCCAATTCGACCCAGGCCTTGATCACTGTACAAGGCATTTGACTACCTTCAAACATCTATGGGCACTTCTAGGCTAAGGACAAACCATACAACTCTTACACATATAGAAATCTTAGGCACTGGATTCTGATCCAGGTCTTGATCACCATACAATGACCATCAGAAGTCTATGGGCCCTTCTAGGCCAATGTTAATACATGAGCAACTCTTACAAACAGAAATATTGTGCACCTCATTCCGATCCAGGCCTTGAACACCCCACATGGTATCTGACCATCTTCAAAACTCTATATTCTCATAAAACCTGATATTCTGTATTGCCATACATGGTACTTGACCACCTTCAAAAGTCTATGGGCTCTTCTAGGCAATGTCAATCCATGGCTCTTACAGACAAAGGCATACTGAGCACCTCATTCCAATCCAGGCCTTGAACACCCCACATGCTATCTGAACATCTTCAAAACTCTATAGGCCAACAAAAAATTCCATAAAAACGCTTACAGATAAAGATGCATTGGGAACCTGCTTCCGATTCAGACCTCACTGACCGTACATGGCATCCATTTTTTATAGGTACTTCTAGGCCATAAATACTCTAACATATAAAGATGTATTGGGCATCCATTTCTTATTATTATTACACAGTATTATATAGTGCCAAAGGGTTTCAGGTCTTGATCACTGTACATAGCATAAGAAATATATGGCCCTTGACCACCTTCAAAAGTCTGTGGGACTTTCTAGGCCAATGACAATCCATGCACAACTCTTACAGATAAAGGCATACTGGGCACCTCATTCTGAGTTCATTCCAGTCCATGACCACCACACATGGCATCTGACCATCTTCAGAACTCTATAGGCCAAGAAAAAAAACCATAAAAAATTCTTACAGATAAAGACATACTGGACACTTGATTCTGATCCAAGCCTCGATCACTATACATGGGATACAATGGCCTTCAAAAGCCTTTGGGCCTTTTCAGGCCATTTACAAACAGTAAGCAGCTCTTACAATTAAATAACTAATTCTGACTGCTCAGTTTTAAGATCTTATTGACGGAGGGGTGGTTACTTCAGATTTCTTTCCTCCCCCCTGCCTCCACCTTCCAGACTTACCCATCTTTCCCAGAGCTGCCCATCTTTTCCTCCTCTCCATGCACCTTGCTGTTTAAAGCCCAACACCATGCAGATGTACAGAGCATGGTGGGGAAGGAACCCATGTGAAGTTTTGATTTCGGTTTGGGACCTCTAGAGAGATTTCTCAAGACAAGGAAGTGATGAAAAATCAATCCAGTGGGGACAAAATCACTTCTTGTTCATTATATTGGGGAAGGATCAAATCCTCTTCCAGGTTATTAACCTTGACAATCAGTCTCCTCTTACAAGCTTCTTTCAGGGACAGGAAGTGAGGCAAAATCTCCTGAACAATGTCAGGGACAGAAATGAAAGCTGGACAAAAGAATTTACCATTTACAAAAAACGTTTTGAACAAAGTTGGGCTTTCATCAGTTATATAAAATGTTACCACTGTTTAGATACATCCATCTCTTTCCAAACTACTGATCTATCACCCAGGGGCCCCATGTCTCCCACAAACCCAATGACGGTACAAGGATGGCCCATATACTGTATCTGTACAGCTCTAAGGGTGTGGTATATATGCTCATTGCTTTTACTGGATGTATGGATATGTACCATCCTGGCTCACACACAGATACTGGAACGTGGATTACTGTATGCTCTGGATTTGTATATCTAAATACAACATTCTTATTCTTTTTTAATGCCAATAAATAGAAAAAAATTAAATAGAATAATCACCAACCTTGTAAAGGCATCGTCCAGGTCATCGTATTCTTCATCTTCATCCTCCTCCTCCTGACACACAGGACATAATGACCATCAGCTGGATGTACACAACACTACCATATATTATATCCAAACCCTCCCCGATCCCCCTCCTCCTGACACATATGACCCAATATGAGACATTTTATGAATGATTATCTGTTTTGTTGAATGCAGTTGTTACTCACACTGTGTATTAGAAGCTGTGGCCAGTCAGATAGAACCCACCTCAGTTTTTGGCTGGAGGACATCCAGAGTCCCCAGACTGGTGGTCCCTGATCCACCACTTTCATTCATTGGATTTCAGTTCTTTCAATCATAGAGGCTCAGCTCAGCATCACATGTGGGTGTTACCTAGGCCATAAACCTGCCTAGGAACATTTACTCCTCAAGACATTTTGACATTTTTCAAGACTCCTACCCCCAGCCCACTGCTTGCACACAGCCAGAGATCAGTGTGCTAGCTTGCATTCACTGCCACAGTCTGCCCTGCACTCCCTCACTGATACCTAGTGAGGGGTTCCTGTCAGGAAGGCTGTATGGGGCCCCATGATTTCTAATCTTGAGATGATATAACTCCCCCCTCCCCATCTCTTCTCAGGGGTAAACACACAGTTGACTTAATCTTTCCCCATAATGGAGCTCCTCCAATCATTTAGTTGCCCTTATCTGCACTCTAACCACTTCCACAAAGTCCATTCTGATATCTGCATACCAAACCCGAAGAGTATATAAAAGACAATGATGTACTAAGGTGTAGTATACAGTGTATAACCATATGTCTCTGCCCAATACCAACAGGTCCAACAAACCGACATACCCCGTTCTGTAACGTCCTAAGGGTCCGGCACGGTAAATCCATGCTGCTCATCTGGTCACTACTGCTGGCATACGGTAAAGAACGTGCTGGAAATCCGGCTGGCAGGACCTGTAATGAGATATTTAGTTTTAGATGGAAGGAGGGTGAGCTCCTATGTCAGGCATTTATTGCGGTATGTCCTGTGTGGTCACTGATCACCAATGTAAGGGGCATTCTTCCCACTGATCACCAATGTAAGGGCATTCTTCCTGGCCACCAATGTAAGGGGACATTCTTCCCACTGACACCCCAATGTAAGGACATTCTTCCCACTGACCACCAATGTAAGGGTCATTCTTCCCTCTGACCACCAATGTAAGGGACATTCTTCCCACTGACCACCAATGTAAGGGACATTCTTCCCCACCGATCACCAATGTAAGGAGCATTCTTCCCACTGATCAACATTGGTAGGGGACATTCTTTCCACTGCCCAACCAATGTAAGGAGCATTCTTCCACTGGCCACCAATGTAAGGCGCATTCTTCCCACTGGCCACTAATGTAAAGGGCATTCTTCCCACTGGCCACCACAATGTAAGGGACATTCTTCCCACTGGCCAATGTAAGGGGCATTCTTCCCACTGGCCACCAATGTAAGGGACATTCTTCCCACTGATCACCAATGTAAGGGGCATTCTTCCCACTAGCCACCAATGTAAGGGACATTTTTTCCAGAGACCACCAATGAAAGGGGGATTCTTCCCACAGACCACCAGTGTAAGGAGCATTCTTCCCACTGGCCACCAGTGTAAGGAACATTCTTCCCACAGACCACCAGTGTAAGGAGCATTCTTCCCACTGACCACCAGTGTAAGGAACATTCTTCCACTGACTACCAAGTGCAAAAAGAGCATTCTTCCCATTGACCACCAATTTGAGCAAGGGGCATTCTTCCCACTGACCACCAATGTAAGGGGCATTCTTCCCACTGACCACCAATGTAAGGAACAAGATTCTTCCCACTGACCTTCAAAACTGCAAGGGGCATTCTTCCCACTGATCACCATGTAAGGGACATTCTTTGTAAGACTGACCCCCAATGTAAGGGACATTCTTCCACCGGTCACCAATGTAAGGGACAGTCTCTTCCCACTGAAAACCAATGTATTTTGGGCATTTTCCCACAGCAGATCAGAGTCCAATGTAAGGGGCATTCTTCCCACTGATCACCAATGTTAGGTGCATTCTTCCCACTGATCACCAATATAAGGAAACATTCTGTCCACAATCTGATCACCAGACAAGGTAAGGAGCATTCTTCCCACTGGCTACCAATGTCATTGACATTCTTCCCACTGACTACCAATGTAGGAGCATTCTTCCCACTGATCACAAATGTAAGGGGCATATCTTCCCACTGATCACAAAATGTAAGGGGCATTCTTCCCACTCTGACCCACCAATGTAAGGGACATTCTTCCCACTGATCACAAATGTAAGGGGCATTCTTCCCACTGATCACAAATGTAAGGGGCATTCTTCCCACTCTGGCCACTAACATGTAATGGGCTTTGTTCCACTGGTCACCACCTCATAAGGGGCCAACCATTCTTCCACTGACCACCAATGATTTGTGCTTTAGCAAGAACTTTGAAAGTTATTTCAAAGGGTTCCTCTGGGGTAGAAAACAAATTGAGAAAGGCTGATCTGATGATTACAACTACATATAGGCATGTGCTGGATCATATATACTGCATACCTGGCTGGTGGTCAGCAGACTCTTCGTCCTGGCTCCAGTCGGGCAGGTGAATCCTCCTCCCTGTCGTAACCAGAACATGGTATCTGATGTAGCCAAGCGAAAATTTGGGGTATCTCCATAATATTTGTAAGAGACAAGAAGGTAGAGTGCAGCTTATTATCAATATTCAGAAAATTAAATAAATAATAAAAATCAAAAGGAAGTTTTTGGATTTTCCCCATCAGCAGAGACCTCCACCAGTCCTCTCATGACATGATGGTCAGGAGATCCTGTCCAATGTAGCGTCACATGGCTGGACTCTTATTAGTTGAGAATCATCCCATCTACCGCCTGCACCAGACTGATAATGTGCCCCTCTATCCTCCATGAGCAATCTGATTTTCCCCCCCTAAGGTCATCAGCCAGATGGTGGACAAATCATTGTATATCTTTGGAGACATCAGACCAGTCATGTACATCCAGACAAAACCATGGTGAAGCCAGCATATACACAGTCCCCTTACCTTCCCTGGAGGCCCCCCATAAATCCAGAGCCAAATGCACATGCCCTATCTTTCAGTGTCACAGTCATGTGCCTGACCCTCAAAAAAAAACCACTGATGTATGATGGGTCTAAAATATGGAAGTCATGTGCCCCCCCGATCCTCCTCTAGCCAATCACATTTCCTGTGTTCAGAACTGTCAGACACACGTCCCCTCTTCCTCTCGTAGCCCAGACACATGTGTCCTCTCATTCTATTGTGTCCCTAGTAGTCACATGGTCACCCATGTCTCCTATCCTCTCCTGTAGCCAACCCATGTCTCCCTATCCTCCCTGTAGCCAACCACATGTCTCCTATCCTTCCTGTAGCCAGTCATGTGCCCCCTCTATCCTTCCCTGTAGCCAGTCATGTGCCCCCTATACTCCCTGTAGCCAGTCATGTGCCCCCCTATCCTCCCTGTAGCCAGTCATGTACCCCTCTATTCCTCCCTGTAGCCAGTCATGTGCCCCTCTATTCTCCCTGTAGCCAGTCATGTGCTCCCCTATCCTCCCTGTAGCCAACCACATATCTCCCCCCCATCCTCCCTCTAGCCAGTCATGTGCCCCCTATCAGCATGTGCCCCCCTATCCTCCCTGTAGCCAGTCACATGTTCCCCCTATCCTCCCTGTAGCCAGTCATGTACCCCTCTATCCTCCTGTAGCCAGTCATGTGCCCCCTATATCCTCCATGTAGCCAGTCATGTACCCCCCTATCCTCCATGTAGCCAGTCATGTGCCCCTCTATCCTCCCTGTAGCCAGTCATGTGCCCCCCTATCCTCCCTGTAGCCAGTCATGTGCCCCTCTATTCCTCCTGTAGCCAGTCACGTGTGCCCCTCTACCTTCCCTGTAGCCAGTCATTTGCCCCTCTATCCTCCTCTGTAGCCAGTCATGTGCCCCTCTATTCCTTCCCTTTAGCCAGTCATTTGCCCCCCTATCCTCTCTGTAGCCAGTCATGTGCCCCCCCCCCCTCCTGTCCATGTAGCCAATCACATGTCTCCTATCTTTACTGTAGGCAATGGCATGTGCCCCCCTATCCTCCCTGTAGTCAGTCATGTGCCCCTCTATCCTCCTGTAGCCAAACATGTGCCCCCCTATCCACCCCTGTAGCCAATCACATATTTCCTATCTTTCTTGTAGCCAGTCATGTGACCCATCCTCCCTGTAGCCAATCACATGTCCCCTATCTTTCCCTGTAGCCAGTCAATGTGACCCCCTATCCTCCCTGTAGCCAGTCCATGTGCCCCCTCCTATCGTCCCTGTAGCCAACCACACATGCTCCCTATCCTCCCTGTAGCCAGTCATGTGCCCCCTATCATGCATGTGTGCCCCCCTATCCTCCCTGTAGCCAGTCGTGTGCCTCCCCTATTCTCCCCTGTAGCCAGTCGTGTGCCCCTCTATACTCACTGTAGCCAGTCGTGTGCCCTCTATACTCCCTGTATCCAGTCATGTGCCCCCTATCCTCCCTGTAGCCAGTCACATGTCCCCTATCTTTCCTGTAGCCAGGGGTCACGATGTGCCCCCTATCCTCCCTGTAGCCAGTCACATGTCCCCTATCTTTCCTGTAGCCAGGTCATGTGCCCCCCTATCCTCCCTGTAGCCAGTCGTGTGCCTCCCTATTCTCCCCTGTAGCCAGTCGTGTGCCCTCTATACTCACTGTAGCCAGTCAGTGTGCCCTCTATACTCCCTGTATCCAGTCATGTCCCCTATTCTCCCTGTAGCCAGTCATGTGCCCCCCTATCCTCCTCATACCAGTCGTGTGCCCTCTTATCAAATGTCCCTGTAGCCAGTCATGTGCCCTCTATACTCCCTGTATCCAGTCATGTGTCCCCTATTCTCCCTGTAGCCAGTCATGTGCCCCCCTATCCTCCCTGTAGCCAGTCATGTGCCCCCCTATCCTCCCATAGTATCCATCAAGCCCTTTTGTGCCCCCCTATCCTCCCTGTTAGCCAGTTGTGTGCCCCCCCTATTCTCCCTGTATCCAGTCATGTGCCCCCTTATATCCTCCCTGTAGCCAGTCATGTTCCCCCCTATCCTCTGTAGCCAGTCATGTGCCCCCCTCTATCCTCCCTGTAGCCAGTCATGGTGCCCCCTATCCTCCCTGTAGCCAGATCATAGTCATGTGCCCCCCTATCCTCCCTGTAGCTAATCACCATGTCATTACACCTATCCAACGACATTTCCTCTCCTGTAGGCAGTCATGTACAGCAGTGTTCCCGCCCTTATCCTCTCTGTAGCCATGTCATGGCGCCCCCCATATCATGCATGTGCCCCAAATACTATCCTCCCTGTAGCCAGTCACAGTATGAAATGTCCCCTATCTTTCCTGTAGCCAGGTCATGTGCCCCCCTATCCTCCCTGTAGCCAGTCACATGTCCCCTATCTTTCCTGTAGGGGACAGGTCATGTGCCCTCCTTTCCTCCCTGTAGCCAGTCATGTGCCCCTTTATTCCTTCCTGTATCCAGTCAGTTGTACCCCAATTCTTTCCCTGTAGCCAGCCACTTGTACTCCTATGCTCCTTGTATCCAGTCACGTGTCCCCCTAGCCTCCCTGCAGCCAGCCAACATGTGTCCCCATATTCTCCCTGTATTTAGGCACGTGTCCCCAATCCTCTCTGTAGCCAGCCACGTGTCCCCATATTGTCCCTGAATCCAGGCACATGTCCCAATCCTCCCTGTAGACAGCCACCTGTCCCCGTATTCTCCCTGTATCCAGGCATGTGTCCCTTATTCTCCCTGTATCCAATGACATATCCCCTCTTACTCTTCTCCAGGCATATTTCTACAGGTGTAGCAGCAATGGTCACTCACCAACTTTTTCTTGGGGGGACAGGAAAGCGTGGCACTCCAGGGCCCCATTAGACTGGTTCTGGGCCACATAGGCAAACACTTTATTCTGCACTTTGTCTGTTGTTACAGTATGAAATTCTGGGAGATAAATGTGATGATGTAGAGTTAGTAAATGATCCCTACTCCTCCTCCTGTAGCAACTGTCCCATCATTACAACTGACATATAAAAAAATTCCTAGGGAGGCCTCACCTGTATATAGAGACATATTCTATCCTGTCACCCCGGCCGCCTCCTGGATGTCAATTCCATGTGGGGTTACAGTGAGGACCACCTTTCTTGAACTTTTCTGAACTGGCTCTTGCCTGAGGGGACAGCGATAGAAGAGTCTTTTAAACCAAACAATTGCCATATGTTGATATGATGAGTCTTCCACATTACTACACGAAAAGGCTCCACCTGTGGCACACATTACCAATATCTATGCACTATTGATAACTAAGATATAATAATTATTGCACACATATCTGTGGCACTCATTACTGTCACCTGTGGCATACAACCTCTTGCAGTCTCTGCACACATATTTGCACTCTGTAAAATGCATTACCTTCCTCTGTGCCACACATTACCACACCCTGGGCACACATTACCTCCATCTGTGGCACATATTACCTCCATCTGTGGCACACAATATCACATCCTGGGCACACATTACCACATCCTGTGGGCACCCCCATCACCTTATCCTCCTCCTGTGACACACATTATATTCCTCTCCCTCCTGTGGCACACATCACCTGTTCCTTCTCCTGTGGTACGTCACCTCTGCCTCCTCCTATGTCACTCATTTACCTCACCCCCCCCTTCTGTGGCACACATCACCTCCTCCTCCTGTGGCACACATCACCGCCTCCTCCTCCTGTGGCACACATCACCGCCTCCTCCTCCTCCTGTGGCACACATCACCACCTCCTCCCCTTCCTTCTGTGGAACACATCACCTCCTCTTCCTCCTGTGGCATACATTACCTACATCTGTGGTACACATTACCCCCATCTGTGGCACACATTACTTCCTCCTCCTGTGCACACAATACTTCATCTGTGGCACATATTACCCCAATCTCCTGTGAAACACACATTAGCTCCATCTGTGGCACACAATTACCTCCTCCTCCTCCTCTGTGGAAAACATTACCTCTTTACCTCCTCCTGTGACACACATTACCCTTCTCCTCCTTTGGCACACATTACCTCCTCCTCCTGTGGCACACATTACCTCCTCCTCCTGTGGAACACATTACCTCCTCCTCCTCCTGTGGCACACATTGGCACACATTACCTCCTCCTCCTCCTCCTGTGGCACACATTACCTCCTCCTGTGGCACACATTACCTCCTCCTCCTCCTGTGGCACACATTACCTCCTCCTCCTGTGGC